AGTGTGTGCTGAGTCAGTGAGGAGTGTTGTCTCTATTACACTGTGTGCTGTGTCAGTGAGCTGGGCGTGTCTCTGTTTTACAGTGTGTGCTGTGTCAGTAAGGAGTGTTGTCTCTATTACAGTGTGTGCTGTATCAGTGATCAGTGCTTGTCTCTGTATAACAGTGTGTGCTGTGTCAGTAAGCAATGCTTATCTCTGTAATACAGTGCATCAGTGAGCAGTGCTTGTCTCTGTATTACAGTGTGTGCTGTGTCAGTGAGAAGTGTTGTCTCTGTTACAGTGTGTGCTGTGTCAGTTAGCAGTGCTTGTCTCTGTAATACAGTGTGTCAGTGAGAAGTGCTTGTCTCTATTACAGTGTGTGCTGTGTCAGTGATCAGAGCTTGTCTCTGTATTACAGTGTCTGCTGTGTGGCTGCTGTGCTGCTTGCAGAAGGAGATGGCACAGAAGACGATCATACCATGTGCAATACACAACAAGAAATGGGCTTTTCTGAGGGGTGAGATTGTGATTATATATACACAAATGTTTTATTCCCAGTGAGATGCTGCCTCACAAACTCACATATCTCTTTAGTATTGAACGGGGGAGCATGTTCATTTTTGTTGAGTTGTGTTTTTGTCATCAGTCTAAAACAAAGACACAATAATATTGTGAGGGTGAAGAGGTGGTTTTGGGAGGGGTGTGAGAGTTATGTGCAGTGAGAAGAGAAGTCAGAGGGTGTATATATACAGTAAGTAGGAGAGCAGAATAGTTGAAATTAGGATCTGACCTTCCTCCTGAACTTCACATTCACAGTAGCCAAAACTCTTTTCATTTTGGGAAATGGCACGACTCTACAGGCTTGTACTATGTGTGTTTGGTTAAGTATATTATCTCCAAGTCTGTAAGAATTTCTTATATATGTGTCTCTTACGTGTTTACAGAGTCCCTTCTAATGTAAAATGTGCAAACGTGCTTTTTGTGACATGTTTACATTTTCCTATTTTTCTTCCATTCAGGTGTTCCAAATGTGTCGCACAAATCTGCCACAGTTACAGTACAACCATTTTCATCTCCAGGAAACACTGGTCAGCCTTTTCTTCCTCACTCTTCAAGCATAACAGCTGAGAACGAAAGTCAATCCACTGCAGGACGGAAGCACCACATTGCCTCTTTAAAGCCATGAAAAACTGCTTCTAGTGCTGACAATAAGAATGGCAGCTCCCGTAATCGAAAATACCAATCTGGAAGATGAATTTTTGGCAAAATTAAAAACATGTTTTTTTGCTGCCAGACACGTATTGGTATATGTTTTTCTCTGTGGACTACAGCCACTAACCACAACCAAAAACTCAGCAAGAAAATGCTTTCAGTTTTGTTCATCTTTCTTAATATTCTAAACATAAAGCCTACACATGACTGTTGTTCCTTCTAGGCACAATGTTTCTCTTCTGAAATCCAAGATGCTTTATTATTACCCTTTTTCTCTGCTGAGCAGTCAGGAAAACATCTGAGTGAAATTGAAGGAAATGGAGTTGATCTCTGAACAAAATGACCAGTGAGCTGTACTCCCTTGGATGCTCTCAGGAAGCAGACTGAAGATCTGAGCTGACTGTTACTCAATTCTTCCACTTGAACTGTGCCACTTCTAATGAGACAGGAAGTCTTTTGCAATTTCTTATCTATCTTACTGCACAGCTGGTCAGTGCAGGTTATTTATTATAAGCAGTAAAAGATATCAAAGACTTATTAAGTTACATACCTGTATATGCTTTACTTATTGCTAGCAGTATTGTATTTATTTTATAAAGCTCTGCTGATCACTATCATGAAACTGTTTGACACAGAGTAGACCATGTGAAAGAGCAATATTCTCCTAAGGGAAAGAGGGTTATAAATTCTAAATCAAATTTATTTTTATACTATTTATTAAATCAATGTATTTAATGAATGTATAGACAATCTTATACTACTTATTATTTATTGTTTGGTTGATTATTTTCTTGTTAGATGGATGCAGTGTACTTCAGAGTGAGGATCTGTATTTGCCTGAGTATGAGTGATATGAAAATATTTAGATCATTAAATGCATGCAAAATATTATTTTATGAATCAAATAAAAATCTATAAAATCTACACTCTTTTTCTGGTGCTGTTATTATTTTTTATCTGCCTTTTGTACACAAAACGTCAAAGGATTATACAGAAAAATAACTTAATAAAAAAAGCACTTAAAATATAGAACTCCTAACACATTTTAATCATAAAGCACCATACCCAGCATCACCATATCCTGATCCTGGTCTGAAAGTCCATTCTCCTTTTCTAACAGACGCTCAATATACAGTAGATTGCACAGAAAATGTGTGTAACAAGGTCTAGTGGGTGTGAAGAACTGTAATCTTCACGTTTTCTGCTCTCAAATTAACTACTTTTGATAAATGAACGAGTAAAGGTTTATTCCATGCTGAAAAGAGAAGAGACACAATGTTTCGGAAGAAGGCTCCACATCCAAAATATTGTGTTTCTTTTCTCTTTTCAGCTTGGAACAAACCTTTACTTGCTCCTTTGCAGCCTACACATGCTGACGAGCACTACCAAGATTGTTAGAAAGTTTTCAGCAGGACAACAAGTAAGGCCAATGTTCATATCTTTCTGCTATAAACAGTATACCATATATGAAGTAGTTTCTGTTACATTTTCATCAAAATGAATATACTGTATCTAAAGGTCACTGAATCTCTTCACACATCAAGCATTTCACCATTCCCTAGAACAAATTGGCTCTTACTGCTGATATCACTCATAACTTAGGGTTCCCTTCATTCCTTTCCCCCATGTCTCCAATATCCACAGCACTGTCTATGGTTCCAATATATACTGTTTTCTTAGTTCTCTTTGTTACTGTTATTTTGCCTTCACCTTTTACATCAGTTTGTTCCTAACCTGCAAAACCCTAACCTTCCTAAAACCGTTGTAGTCCTTATTCACCAGTTTTGTCCTACCTAATGTGCTTATAGAACCATCTTTTCTCGATCTCAGTTCTATCTTTTCCTCTTTACAGCAGCTTTTGATGAATTCCATGTGTTGTCAGCCCCAGTTCTTTGCAGTCCCTTCATTTTTCTCACCACCTCTTTTCTGCTGGTGTAATACTGTACATGCCCCAATGTGGCTCATCTGATTCCTAATTCACCACCTCAACTTTCTTGCTCTCCTTGCAGTCACACTGATCTCTGCATTAGTAGGTATTCTAGCCTTGCTCTGGCAACAGGTGTACTATCCCTGGTTTAACTCCCTCTTTCATCAACTGTTGAGTCTCTGCCTTTAAAAAATAAGGTCCTTGAGAACTGCGATTTTTACAGTAGTCTACCTGTATCACAAATAGAGAAGTGCGCTCAAGATGAGGGACTCTGGACAAATAAGATTAGTTTTCCATATATAATAGATTTTTATGTGTAAAACATATATACACATGTATTTCATCCATTGACTTAGAAATAAGAGTTATTGCTTTCAACTGGTGAAATATGTAGGGTATCATTCATGTAGACAGCATGCCAGTTATTTCTCAAGTAATCAATAATTACCTCTCCTTGTTTTTTGGGGCAATTAATAATCTGCATTAGCCTTATTCCTACCCAAAACAAAAAAAACATGGCACTCTACTTTCAGATTTCAGTTTCAAATATGTCATTACTCCCCAATAAGCACCTGCCAATACAAGATGTTCGGAGCGAGCAGGTCTCATTCACAATGTAGGGCGTGTGTTTGCTGTTCTCCTTTTGTAGTACTTCATTTAGGAGCACAACAGGAAAAACAGCAACTCTGCTTGACCTTGACAAACACCCGGTCATTTATTCTTCTCTCAGAAGAGTATTCTCTTTGTTCTGACAGGTGGATAATGTGATGCTATAGTAATAGACACCCTCTTTTTTCAAAGAAGAAAACAATGTCAACAGTTGAAAAATCAAACATTTCTAGTGTCTCTAGTGACTTTTAACTTTCCACCCAGAAGGACAAACATGTGCTCTTTATTGCGACGTGTACATCATAGGAGCAAACATCGAACAAAACAGAGGGTAGGTTATACTGAAGGCTGCTGTCTTTGCGCTGGGTAGTTACATCACTTCCAAATATTTGGGTGTGTGAGCTCATCCCTTTAGAAACAGGTAGGGGTGGAGAAGCATTGCTGCATTCCTCATTCTTATGGGTTCATTTTATTCTTCTTTTCTATTCGGGTCAAGCACCGGAGGCACAACAGTCAAGTAATCATCTTCAAAGACTGCACGCTGGGAAACAATTTAAGGTAATATGCTTCACACTTGAGAACCTGGCCAAAATCCCTTAGAACATGCAAACGTCTCACAGGCACCCAAAGTCAGAATAAGAAGGATGTTAAATGCTATGTACTGTACATAACCATGCTGCTTGTAGGCTTATTTAAATCTCTCCTATCAGTGCACTGAAAGAAGTTATTAAAGTTAGTAGGTTATTTATTGAATTAGTGCAGTATGAGTGTTGTACTTCTTCAGGGGCAGAATGTGTGCTAGCACAAGCAAGTTTACAAGCCAGAGGAGGCCACTCGACTTATCTGCCCCACTTAGTAGTTAGTAATTAATTGTTTCGAGGATCTTATCCAACTGTTTCCTGAAAAAAAACAGTCCATCTACTTCAACAACATGAATGGGTAGCTTGTTCCATACTCCCACTACCCCGGGTGTAAGGAAGTGCCTCCGGTTCTGGCTTGTAAATGCACTTCCACATAGTTTTCTTCAGCATCCATGAGGATTATGAATACTTCCCCTACACACATCTCTGCCCCTCCTCACCTGTCCTGTGCTGCAACACAGAGGAGCCCAGAGAGACGCTGACAGGGAAACAGGTGGCGACTGAACAGGCTGCACAGCCTTGTTCTTCATGCACACGTCAGGAGATGATGAATCAGGGCAAGTACACTAAAGTCAGACAACTGGAGATGCGTTCTCATGCAGTATGTCAGAGCACCAGTAGAGGGTACACCTGTACTGATCCAATACCTTCAAACAATGAACAGAAAATGCTACGCCTAGACATACATTATGCAACTGTTCAGGCAAAAAAAAACAACTAAAATTTCAGGAAAGGAAATTATCAAAGGTGAGAGAGAACTTAAAAGAAGCAGAATGTGAAAGCATATAAAATCAGAAGAACATTTTTTATTACCTGTTATCCTCATCCAGAAGAACTTGCTAAAAGCACTATCACTATTGCACTTTAACAAAAGATCTATTCCAAGAGTACAGAAAAAAGCATGGGCCCAAAAGTTCAAATCAATCAAGGAGAATTTAAGCAGAAAGAAAGCACATAATAAAATGCTTAAAAGAGAAGTGCAGCCAGGTAAAGACGAAATGTAGAATAAACTGAAAGCACATGAAAGGTCAAGAGAGAGAACAGAATATAGCAATGAAAAAATAAAAGGTTTGGAGATCAGTCTAACCAGTTTGGTAGTTAGAAGTTAGCTGATTCAAGGAACACATCCAGCCGTTTCTTGACAGAAGTCGGGGCAATGACTTCAACAACATGACTGGGCAGCTTGTTACCGCCTCCCACCACCCTGGGATTCTGCTACAGTAGGTTGACTTCCCTTTGTAGCCTTCTGTGCTCAAGACAAAAGCAATCAAGCTATTGTAGCCTGTCCATGTAAGAGTTTTATAGTGTAACATGTTGCCCATATGTAAAGTAAAAATGTAAAGACATGACAACACAGTAGTTTGGTTGAATTTTTGGTGCCTTCAGAAAGCCAAAGGGTGCACCTGCAAACTTTCAGCAACGATTGTAAACATGGCAAACTCTGAGACAGCAGACAGCATATGATCAAGAGATGGTATAGAGCACTCTCCACCAGGGAGTACAAATTACTTTACTGTGACGAGAAAGTGCTCGTTCCTTTGTCACCTGTAAAATATCAGCTAGCTTTGTGATCAGGCTTATTATATGTGCTATATTACGGTTCCTGTAATACTGTTGTTTGGATTTGTGAACCCATTTCCAACAATCATGTTCTTACCTTGTGGTGCGTTTGGATTGCATTAAGACCTGCAGACCTTATCATAGAGCAAAGAGCGATCTCAGGTTCTTCAAGGTCTTTTGACATCCATCCATCCAATTTCTAACCACTTTATCCAACACAGCCACTGGAGGGGAGAGCCAAAGCATTCTGGCAAGCAACAGGCACAACACGGGATATACCCTGAACCTCAGTCTTTCTAAAGCCACACACAGGCACAGACAGGCACACACTCATGCCATTTTTTTCTTGAAGCCAATTAAAGTATCAGTATAATTTTAGACTGTGGGAGGATACTGGAGAACCCAGAGGAAACCTGTGTGAACTCCATTATGCATTGCTCCTTGAGTGCCTGGCAACAATATTCTCCCCCTTGCAATGATATCCATTTATCAATACATTTTCTAACATTTTTATCCAAAGTTCAAGGCCATGGGGGAGCCAGGGTGTAACCCAGCAAGCAACAGTCACAAGGCAAGGTGTAACGCCCCACGCTCTCCCACGCAAATGGCATTACATTCCCAAACCCACTGTTTCACAATCTCATTCCTAATTGAACCCATCACATTCCCACATGCACTAGATTCCACAAATTCTCACTCCTGAACAAATTATCCAACCACATCCCTTTCCCTTCAGTATTTAAAGTTCCCTCACACACCAACCCATGCTCACTATTGAGAAGCCTCCAGTAGAATTCTCTTGTGTGTTTCTAAGCCTTCTGACTGATCTCCTGGTACCAAATCTTTGCTCCTGCCTTTTGGATTTTATTTTTGGATTGTTTTTTGGATTTCTCTCATTGCCTTCCTAATTGACCTAGCCCCTGGATTTTGTCTTTTGGATTGTCCCTGTGCTACTCTGCATTCTGTGGGATTCACAATTAAGTATTAGGGTCCTCCTATTCTATCAGTTGGTTTCCTGACAGTAGGCTTATTCAAAAAGATGTGACCAAAAAAACAAACACAAATTATTACAATCAGGGGTGAGTTTCCCGAAAACGATGAATCTTAGAGACTAACCAGCAACTTTGCGATGTACGTACGTAACGTACGAGCTA